ACATTCTTTACAACCTGTAAAAGTTTGAGGGACTCAGAGAGGCTAATGAAAGTATTGAGATAGTTGAGAATATCCTTCCCCCAAACAGAGATAAAGTTGTGCTCCCAAGGAAATTCTGGTTTGAAAAAGTAACAGAAGATGCATTTATTGTATTTCCACATAGAACACTGTGTGTGCCTGGCTATCACAATGGGCTTCAGACATGAACTTTGGTCAGACATGAACCTTGTGAATTAGCCTTGTGTATTTTCTGGGAAAGGGCCTTTTGAGTACATTCTTTCCTCATTCCACTTTGTTGTTTGACTGAGGACAAAGTAGTCTTGGACATTTCCACAGCTAGCAAGATGCAGATGCAGTCTCTCTGTGAAATGGGTGGTGGTCTCAGTCTGGTTGCAGCGGATCACATTGCTGATCTTATCTCTACATTTGTCACAGATTGGTACCTGTGTTTATCAGTCTCTGCAGTGAGGAAAAGGGCATGGAGAATGACGAGGTATCACCTTCAGTGCCTGACTGAGGCCCACCGATGGACCTTGTTGAGGGAATCTTGCACTGTTGTTGCCCATGCTGGTTAGATTGAAGACTTCAACGACCAGAGCTGTCATTCTAACCTCTCTCCCATGTAGTTCACGCAAAAATGATAGCATTGCCCAATTTGATTTAAGGGAAGGAGGGTCAGAATTCAGTATAGGTGTGTCCTTTTAAAAACACCTCTAATTTTATTAGTCACCATGTGTGGGGGGGAAAAATGCCAACACACAGAATCACTAATTGTTTTGCTCTGAGTCAGAGACATTGGTGTGGCCCTGTTTATTAGGAGTCGTTTCCTAAATTTGCACTGGGTGTGCACCAAAAGCCGATGAGCAAGGCCTGTGATTCTTAAAGCCCTTGAGGTGGTAAAAGAAATTAGGGCATTTCGTTACTGTGAATGAAGAAGGTAGGCAGACAGGTGCCTGTCTCTTTTTATACTGTGCTCATAACTTGAGTACATAGGAACCACCAAAATTCCATGAATTCTATGGTCCTCACCCTCTCAGCAACATCTCAGGACCGAGGGTGTCAAACTTCTTGCAGATCCAGCAATATTAGCCTGGACATTTGTCCTTGTCAATGAGTAAACATGTTGTGGACTGTGCCTTTAAGATGCAATACATTCATATTTGTTGGAGCCTCTTCAGTCATGTCTCTGTGTTAGCTGCCTCTGTGTCTGATAAAGCGCAAGATATCAAACCAATTACCGGTTCCTCGTCTGAATCCTGACTGGGAGAGGCCTGAGATACTGGCAGAGGTCAGGGACTACTGGACGGGGTTTGTTGCCCATTTCTCGTCTGTCTTGCCCAGGAAAGGAAGGTTAGAGGCAAGTTGTTAACAGGCAGCATTTTTTCACTGGCTGTTACTGACTATTTTACGGCAAGAAACAGCCTTCATAAAGAACTTCAAATCTTTAGTACACGACACTGCATTTTAGGGTGGGGCCAGTACAGCTGTTGAAGACAAATCTCATTTAGCGAGTCTGACAGGATTAGAGATGATTTTCTTCTCAGACATATGGAGTTAACCATTGATAATAGGGTCCCTCCCAACTGAGATATTTTAGGGAATGACTCTTCATTTGCTGGTACAGAGAGGAGGGAGAAAGCAGATCAGCGGGTTTTTCCCTCCTCTTGATTACGCCTCTAACTTTACATCCTCTCACAAGTACTGTCTGTATAATTGACACATGAAACCGATCTGTTTTTCTTTTCAGTGTGTTGTCTAATGATTAAAGCAGGAGACTGAGAGCCAGGACTCCTGGGTTCTCTTCGCTGACTTGCTGTGACTTAGGCCAGTCACATATCCTGCCTGTCACTCAGTATGACCCTGATCCAAAGCCCATTGAAATCAATGGGAAGACTCCCATTAACTCCAGTGGTCTTTGGATCAGGCCCTCTATAAAATGGAGATCTAATAATCCCTACCTCATGGGAGTATTGTGCGATGTAATAACTTTAAAGAGTTGGAATTCCTATTACTATTTGTCATCTTGTCTATCCCTCCCCCCTTCTGTGCGTAGCAATGAAGATTTTAATATGTTTTTGTTCAGTTGCGATGACTAAATAACAAAGACATTTTTGCCACCGGTACTCTCTGGCAGTGGTTAGTCATCTGGATAGCAGTGCAGTGGTTCAGGGCAGCTGTAAGCATTCCTGCCATGCCACCTGCTTTTCTTGGATTAAAGCTGGAAAGGAAACTTAGGCAGTGCAATGAAACACAGTGCATAAATAATATTTAATACGTTGCTTGTATGTATAGTAGCTGCTTTCCTTCCAAGAACTGCAAAGCACTTAATATCATGAATTAAGCCTCATTATATCCATGCAGGTGGTAGGGATTACTGTGTGCATTTTACATTGCGGGGGCAAGGGAAGTAGGAAAGAGAGAGTTTAAATGACTTCCTCTAGGTCACACAATAGGTTAGTTGTCGAGCCAGGAAGAGCACTTGGGAGTCCTTACTCCCAGTCCCTGTCATTTAAACCCTTGGCAATGTTCCTTCCTTAAAGATATTCTGTAGAACTTCTCTGTGATGCGCAATAAGAACCACCATCTGTAGGTCTTGTCGCATTGAGTTGCCGTTTGTGAATACGTTATTTTATTTGCTCGTGGGGTTCCCTGAAGTGAGTCAGCTGTCAGTAGAGCGATCAGTCAGGTCTGCCATTTTATCCACATTTTCTTCATTTGCTGGCCTTTGGTACTTCTTACTTAGTGCTCTCATTACTACCTTTGCTAAACCAGTACCTTGGGCTTGGGCTTGATCTAGCCATAGGAGGACTGTAACAGGGTGGCCTGCCCCTTTAATGGCCTGTGGCTAACCAGCCACATTCAATCAGCCCTGACTGTGCCATAATTAGCAGCCTCCCATCCTAAAGGGGCAGCACTAATTGGGGTCAGGTGGCAGCCTGAAACACCTGGACCTCATAAAAGGGTTGAAAGAGAAACCCCAGGAAGCAAGCTGGGTTCATGAAGTGACTGGAACTCAGTGCTGTATCCCGGAGCAGAGAGACTGAAAGCTGGGAGCTCAGTTCATCGGAAGGGCTGAAGGGAAGCCCAAGCAGGGTGGAAGAACTTGTGTGACCCTGAAAGGAGATTGAACTCTGAAAGTGACCCAGCTGGAGGACAGAGCCACATGAATCCCTGGGAGAGGCAGAAAACCCAGGGGAGGGGGCACTGAGGTAGGGAATGCCCTGTGACAGGGACCTTCTGCACATAGGTCTTCTCTCCACCATGTGGAAGGGAGAGGCTTAGCTTACCTTCCCAGTACCTCCTTTCCCCTCTCCAGACCCCACACAGCCTGTGCAGGGAGAGGAGGGTGGAAAGTGAGCGGGCCAAGGGGAGGGGTGGGTGGAGGCAGGGAAAATGCTCAGAGAGAGTCCCTGGAGTGGGGGTGGGAGGACATAACCTGGGGCAGTATTTCCTTTTTGCAGGATTTTCCTTTGGGAGATCTGAGGGGGACCAGGACCTGGGAGAGTCCCCCATATTGTAGCACGATGGAGCCAGAATGCCAGGGTGAGAGGTGGGGGTGGAACTCTTGTGGGGTCAGGTTTCCTGGGGATGTCTGAGGCAAGGCCTGTGGTCTCTCCCAGGAGTGGAAGGGTTAGTATGGTGGGATATCTGTGAAAGGATGGGATTTAGGGTGGGAAGGGATGATCTAGCCCTTTTTATTAGCCAGGTTTCATGCAGTTTTTACACAAAGCCGCTCATATTGCTAACAGTGAGGAAAGCGATTTCTTTGTTGCTCAAATGTTACCATACATTTAGTGCTTAACCCATTATTATGAATTTAACAATGATTAGACCAGCAATAAAATATAATTTTGTAAGGACTTGCCTTAAACTTTGGCTTCCAGTATCTTCAGAGCTAATTCTTTCAGTCCTATGGTCCATTATGAAATCAGGCCCTAGCCAGGGAAAATGGCCACCCTACTGAGAGGGAAATAGCTAGGGTGACCAGATAGCAAGTGTGAAAAATCGGGACGGGGGTGGGGGGCAATAGGTGTCTATATAAGAAAAAGACCCAAATATTGGGACTGTCCCTATGACATTGGGACATCTGGTCACCCTAGAAATAGCTCTGGACGTTGCACAGAGAAAATGAAACACTGACCAGTATTTCTAAATAGTGCCTGAAAAATTAGTTCGGAGAGGCAGTGTGCTCCAGTGGACAGGATACTGGATGGCTCCTCTAGAGACCTGCAGGTCACTTCACCTATGTTTCCTCTTTCACCCTTTGCTTAATAGAGCCCTTCTTGGCAGGGTCTATCACCGTTTGTCTGTACAGTGCCTAGCACAATGGGGCCTGATCTCTGTTTGACGCTAGAGGCTGCTGTAATACAGTTGTTAATTTACTTAGTTGACTCATATTTTAATTGCTGGCATTTTTCTTAAATATGGAGTCACAAATGTCTTATTCAGTGAGAGCATAAATAAGGGGTAAGATTCTCTTTCAACAGGTGTCTTGCTAACCCACCCAAAAGACAGTTTGGCCCAGGTCCTCAGCTTTGGGTGAGGAGTACACACAGCAATTCAGAAGGGAGGAAAGATGTGCAAAGGTGGCTTGAAACCACCTCTGCTCCCCCAATCCTAGATCTGCAGTTCCCTGGCATAAGTCAGTGCAGCAGAAGGCAGAGCTGCTCTGACTTGACTGGCTGCCAACAGTCCAAGCGGATGAAGCCCAGAAAAGCCCTGGCCACCCCCTCTACATTGGCAACCAGGAAGGGTGGTGTCCTCGGAGCTACAACACAGGCTTCACACCACAACTGGGTCACCCTATGCTCATATGTTCCTCCCGTTATAGCTGGCTATGCCCCTTCTAGATGTGCTTTACTTTGCACCAGAATACAGTAGCTGCCTCACAAGGCCTCTGAATCTCCTTATAATCTTCAACTGGACTAAATGACCGTTTAACATCGAAGAGCCTTTTCCTTTAGTAGCTGTAACCAACTGAGGTATTTGTTTTGTTTCAGACTCTGGAAATCTGATCTAAGCTATCCTGTGACTGACAACTTTACAGCTACACCAAGAGGTGGGTTTTCTGTTTGTGTTGGTCTAAGATTCCCTCATTCCAGAGCTTGGACAACACTGTGCATCCCTGATTTTACTATGTCTGGTCAACTAGCCAATTCCTATGGACTCCCAAACAAAATGAAGATTGTTTCTCGAGTTCTGTATGCGTGTGCTCACGTGTATTTTGGTGGGTTTTTAAATGAAATAATGAGCACATTTGCTCAGCCTTACAGTGGATGGGTTTCTGAAACAGAATAAACTCTAATGAAAACAAAAATGCACAGTGAATTTGCCAACTTCTTTGTACAGATGTTTCTGTTTTCAGTAGAAATTGTCTTACAGACAGTGTTAGGGTTACCATTCGTCCGGATTTATCCGGACATGTCCTCCTTTTTGTTCTAAAAATAGCGTCCGGGGGGAATTTGTA